TCAGATTTTATGGTTAGTTTCAAATATATGACACCTCAAAAACAAAAACTGCTCTCTATTACTCACCACAGAGAACCATCCGTGTCCCCCATTAGAATGTCTGACACTCAACTTCTTGAGAGCTCCTCTTTGTGACTACTCAGTCTCACATTGACTGCTGACCTGAGATGGAACAAATGCATTGATTCAATAGCTTCATCGACGGCAAGAAAAGTTGGCTCCCTGTGCCGTGGCAGGAAATTTTTCTCACCGGAGTCGATCCTTCAAATCTACAAATCAACCATTCGTCCTTGCATAGAATATTGCTGCCATATATGGTCCGGTGCCTCTTCTGTTTGTCTCAAGGTTCTTGATAAGATCCAGAGATGGATATGCAATGTAATTGGCCCTGATCTGGCATCTCATCTGCAGTCGCTTTCTCACTGTCACCTCCCTCTGTTTTTTTTACAAATACTTTCATGGTAACTGCTCCAATGAGCTGCTTTCGCTGGTTCCCAGACTTCATGAATTTAAGCGTTCAACTAGGCTGGCATTTTGCTCTCACCTCTTCACTGTCAAAACTGTTAAATGTAACTATCTTTTCTACTCCTACAGCTTCATGTCTCGCACCTCTCGCCTGTGGAACTCCCTCCCCTTTTCCTGTTTCCCTGATAGCTATAATCTCCAACTATTCAAATATAATGTCAATTGACGTCTCAAGATGCCTTGATCTATCCCCTATCCTTCTCTTCATCCTTTCCTCTATCACTCCTATTTGCTCTTGCTCTAATTCTCTGTAACCCTTGTGTGCTAGTGGCTTCCCACCTTGCTTGGGGTGAAACACTTAAAAAAAAAAAAAAAAAGTAGTTCATAAATTGATGAACAAGAAATACTGTTTTAATTTGATTTTTACAGCATTGACAAAAACAAAGTTTTTTCTATCTTTAAATATATTTGAAACAGCTGTGTGACTGATACAAATACAGAATGATAACCAATGCTTTTGTTATTAAAGTTTCTGCAAATTCGTATCCAAAGACAAACACATGATTTGATCTAAAAATCAATTCACATATCTGGCTATAATCATGTTCCTCATAAGTGTTTTATAAATAAAAAAAGAAAGCCATTAGGCCTGCACGAAATCATAATCAATAAAAACATTTCAGGTGGGATTTTTCTTACCTACTGACAGATGCACAAATGACCAGAAAACCCCCAACTCATATGCAACACATCATATATTAAGCTCACGAGTGAGAATTCTGGAGTGGACTCCTACAGACCTACCACTGATTGGCAAGATCCACATAAGATAAACAGCATTTCTGCATTGGGTGTCAGACAGGTGAATGGAGGAACTTCTAAGTTAACTTTGTGTTTCATTGCTTCTGAGTCTATCGATAGACTAGGTGAGAGGAGTCATCTGGGAGATCTTTTGATGCTAAGAAGTTTTGTCAGTAGCCTCTGTTTGCTATTTGAAGTATTCAATACTACTTGATGCAAAAAAAAAAAATTACATGACAAATCTTTGTTTCAACATCTCCATACTTGTCCATGCACTTAACATATATTCACTACATAGATTGAACATATGGTGAATGTTATATCAAAATTCAGCCAATGTCACTGTAGCAGGATATGGATTCATTGATCTGCCTTTTTCAAGAATAAAGATAATTTAGAAAAGCAGTCTGTAATCAAGAATAGGAGTAGGCATGTTCGCCTATCATCTGATTCACATTCCTCCTCGGTCTTCACCTGAAATCTGAAATTTTATTTACTATTTATTTTTTTACCTCAATATAAGTAGACAGGTTTGCCTAATGTTTGATTCACACTCCTGTCTGTTCTTTTGAAGAGGAGTAGAGGTTTATTACTTGTTTCCTATTTAGAATTGGGTTTCTGGTTCCTCCCAAAGTTTATTTCAGCTCTATACTTCTAACATCTTTGACTAATTCTGAACTTTTATTTACTATTTATTTTTTTACTTCAATAAGTTCAGATAGGTTCATCTATCATCCGGTTCACATTCCTTCCCTGTCTTTTGAACAGCAGTAGAGGTTTATCTCTTGTTTCCTGTTTAGGATTGCATTTCCGGTTCCTTCTAAAGTCTTTCCCTTCTCCTTCACTTTCAATAGCCCCTTGCATTTTAGTGGCATTATCAACTTGTTTGAGGTGAATTGGTAAAAAAGAGAATCTTATTGGTTATAATTATAGTAAAACCTACTTATGCCATTGAAAATGATAGTAATACTTACGTTTTTTTTTATATTTTTATGAGGAATTAATGATTTTGTTTTTAGCTTTAATCTGACATCATTTCATATTATTCTTAATGTTATTTCAGTGGGTAAATTTATTTTAGTGTTTGAGTAGACATCTTGTCTTTATGTGAATTATGTCTATCGGCATGTGCATTTGAGAGACTTAATAAAGATAATGGGCTCATTTACTTAAAGTTTCTTGAATGCACAGACTGGTAGACATAACTCACCTGATAAAAAAATACATGACATCTACACAAACATGAGTATCCACTAAAATAATGTGAAGAGTAAATTCTAATGACCTTTCCTTTTTGGTATTTCAACAGTATAAATTTAAATGTACCACTAGATTAGCAACTAGTTCTCATCATTGTACTGTTAGACTCCAAGACGGTCAATTTGCCCAATCTCTATCTTTAAAATTGAAAAACAATATGGGGGCGTATGGGTTCAAAATTATCTCATGGGGAAATAACCTAGTGGATTAAGGCATTTGTGAATTTGGTGGTATAGTAATTGTGAGTTCAATTCCTGGGCCAGTTAGTACAGAACTTCAGTGGCATTTCAGTGCAAGCAATAAGTGAGAAATACTAAATAAGAATAAGATGAGGTATCCCTAGACATGGACAGAGGAATGAGAACAATCTACCTCATAGATTAAATAAATGATTCAGTTTGAGATTCTCTGAAGGTTACCTGGATTGACAAGTGCCTGAAGAAGGCCAGAGTGCTCAACACCCGAAATGTGGTAATAGCAAGAAAGATGAGAATATTAGTAATGAAAGCAGTACAAAGAATGACTGACTACTCATCACAGAAATTCAGGCAAAAAAATATGGGGAGAATGACCAAAAATGTCAGTAGTGGCCAGCCTCATAGATGAGGCATTGTATATTTACCACTGTCACTAATGTTTAGGGTAATGCTTCACTTAAGCAGCATAAAATAAACCGATATTCCCTGAATGGCATAAAATCAATAAGACCAAGTATATAAGTTTATTATAATTACATGAGTAATTGTTGAATACACAGCAGATAAATGCTGAAAACATGGTACTGTCAGTGATCACCATCTGTTTCATCTTGATGGCTGGCTGTACTGATTGCAATGTAGACCATTTTGAATGAGCCATTATTGGGCTAACTAATAGGCCCCCTTAAGAAGATTGTTAAACTCAAGTCTTCTTGCAAAATATTTTCTTGTGATAATAATTCATTCAGATCAACAACTGGTGATGGGGTACTTGTTCTAACATGTGACATGGATGAAATAAAACTGGACAGTATATTTGTTATATACCATACCTATGAACACTAATGGGTATGTCCCAATCCTCATAAATACTTCGGACATTATTATAAGTGTGGGTAATATGCTGTCTAAGTAGTCCACCACTAGCAGTGGTTTGCCTACTTCCTGCTACTGGTGAGTATTGTATTTTGTTGATGTTATAAGAATTACCATTTCATTTTCAACCTCTGTTTTGGTTATTCCTCATTCAGTAACCTTTTCTAGGTTACAACAATATTTTACGCTGTTTATGTGAAGGATTACCATGTTTAGTACTTGAGTCCAGATCAGGATCTGGAATGCTGACTTTCAAGGTAAGTAAGTGAAAGTTTAGAACCACTTAATCAATTTACTTTTCTTCCAATCAACTTACCTGGTCTTGTTCTTTACTAAATTATACTTAGTAAATATTTGCAAAATGATTTGCACAAAATCTCTGATGTATATATTATGATGTATATATTATGGATTCAGGAAGGATCTAGGTTGAGTAAGAGTTCTTTGTTCACCTTACACACCTGTTTGCTTCTGCAGAGAAGAGAGATCTTTAAACCTGGGATTTATTGGCTATTTTTAAAGCTAGAATAGTCTCCAATCAGATTTTATGGTTAGTTTCAAATATACAGTTCATAAATTGAAGAATGAGAAATTCTTCCTCCATGCCACATGCATGATGCACACTTGGGAAATCAAGTCTCTTTTTGACTCATGATTGACTTGGCAGAAGAATTCATGCAGAAAGCCTTTTCTGCTATTTAATCCATAGCTGGGGAAGAAGAGATGGTTTGATTTGGTTTGGTTTGTTTTGTTTTACGGTATTCAATCTCAATAAGTTATTCAATGCCAACAAAATTTTTATTTCTGGTAATATTTTGTTTTGTCAAAAATCTATTTCTGGTAATATTTTTTCTTCAAAAAATCTATTTCTGGTAATATTTTTCCCTCAAAAATGTATTGCTGGTAATAATTTTTTTTTTCAAAAATGTATAACTGGTAATATTTTTTTTTTAAATGTATTGCTGGCAATATTATTTTTTCTTCAAAGATTTATTTCTGGTAATAATTTTTTACAAAGTATTTTGGGTATTAAAACCTATTTTTACAGTTGCATAGTGTTTTAACCCCAGTTTCGGGGTTAACTATTTGCCAATAGGTGGGACCCTAACAGGTACTACCATGCCGGGTCAAGGTGAAACTGGGAACACCAACAATTAAGAGGTGGTCCCATGCTCCACAAAACCTGCTGATCAGAGGCCTTGCTGCTGGATGTAGTTTATTGTCTTACCCAGGATCTAGACATAGTTTATGATCATACTCAGGATGGGAAGAGATGGATTCATACCTTTTTCAATAGTATTTGCACATAAATGAATGTAATGAACTCAATGGGAAGTAAAACACAGGTCTCTGAGTTCTCATTCTGAGCTATTATCCATCACACTGTCTGCACATCCAAGTTTACAGCACCTGGTATTTCCAAGTAGTCACCCATCTAGGTATGGGCCGGGCTCAACCTTGCTTAACTTTGATGATCAGATGAGAACTGATGTTTCAATGTGATAAGGTTGTAAGCCATGAGAAATGCTGTTCTAATTTTATTTTTATGTAGGCAACAAAAAAACGAATTATATTTCAATTAATTAACACATCAGCTGACCTTTAAATAGATTTGAAAGACCTGTGTAACTGATACGAATGCAGGATCATAAACATTGCTGTTGTTATTAAAGTTTCTGCAAAATTCATATCACAAGACAAACAAAAGATTTGATCTAAAAATCTGGGGTTTACTGAATATGCTTAAAGCTAAAATAGTTTTCATTTGTTTCCAGGGAAGTTGAGCTCATGATGTGAAACAATCATTTGGGGCTTTTTTGCTTTGTTTGTCCAAATTATTTAACTTTCTTCTTTGACTTCTGTTGCTAATGTTGATTGAAGATTTATCAGAGATAATTTAATACTGTCAATAATGCATTCAGTTTTGAGCATGAGACAATATTTGCATACCAAAGTGATTCATTAGTGGATATATGAAACAAAACAATAAAACTGTATTCATTTACACAGATATAGAGAAAAATAAATAAAAAAAATATAGAAGAAAGAGAAGAGTGTTTCATTTATCTTTTGGGATGGAGCTGAAAAGAAGAAAGAAAAATGATGAACAAAGTCAAATGATGTGTACAATTGCTTAGGGATTTTACCCTTTGGTAATAAAAATTAGTTAAGCCTGCTTTATTTTGTATGCCTTTGAGTAAATAATTCTTAGAAAAACAACATTCAGTGTTAATGTATACAAAGCTTTTCATTCACTATAAAAAGACAGAATATATGGTTGCCAACAAGCACAATAAAATATATGTGCTACAGAATGGAAAGGTCAAATTTAAGCAAGTATTTAACTATCTGGAAAGATGACAGAAATGTGACAGTCAAATCCAAAGGTGCATGGGGATAGTGAAAAGTGCCTTCCAAAAACTAAACAAAATAGTAATAGACAGGATAAAATTATTGGAAACAAAGAAAAAACAGCTGAACTTCTATGTGATATTAATTCTTCTACATGGCAGTGAATGCTAGTCAATTTCTACACAGATGAAGAAGAAACTTCTGGCAACAGAGATGTGGTTCTATAGAAGGATGCTGAGAATTCCATCGGTGAGACATGTGAGCAACAAGGACGTTTTAAGGAAAATAGAAACAAAAAGGATGTAAACATACAAGACGACACTCGCTCAAGATTTCCACTGTTCAGCCAACGATTACTGCCCCCACCCCCGTTGTGTTCTGATTCTCGATCTCACTGATGTGCACCAAAAGCTGGGAAAGGGCCTGCTGCATGCTCACAAGGTAACACAATGAAAGATAAATGTCAAGAAATAGGAATGTGAACCCTGTCTAGCATATTATATGTACATGTTTTAGTCATTGTTCTGCCTACTCGTCTGCTCATCTAGCTGATACTTAGGACAACTTTTGCTATATCTGCTCTTACCACTACCAACTCTTCATCAATCTACACATCCTGACAGGATGGATAGCAATATAAAATAGAGCCTTTGGAAACATGACTTGGACACCTCTATATCCCACCAAGGGTAAATCAGAACTCTCCCCAATCCCAAACATGATTGTTACTACAGACCACCAACCGGATATAACTTATTTCCAGTTTTATTGCCACTTGATCCCCAAAATCTCTCCTTCACTTGCAATTATGCTTTGGTTAAAGTGAATGCTGCTTAAAAGACCAAACTTCAAAAGACCATCAGAAAAGTACAGGAACCACGTGGCAAACATGTCGGTCTCCCACCAAGGGTGGAACAGAACTTTTCCCTAATTCCAAACATGACCATTAATATAAATCAGCACCGGGATATAACCTATTTCCAGTTTCATTGCCACATTATTCCACAAAATCCCTTTATATCCCATTCTCCCTCAGCTAAAGTGGACACTGCTTATATAAGACTGAACTTCAAAAGGAACCATCTGCTAGTCTATCAAACAGAAACACTTTTTCTATGTGGGTATCCATAGTATCAAAAGAACACTTACACTTAGAATCAAAAAGATATCGTTGAAAATTTTCAGGATACATAATCAGGAAAGAAAATTTGGAGAATTTAACACACATAGGACATACTGAAAGGAAGAGAGATGGGGTAAGTATTAACTTACTTAACAAGCTTGTTTAAATTGGTGTCAGAACAGAGAGTGGGAAGGATAGCAAAATAACAAAAATATTGCTAAGAGTTACAATGGATAGGTAATTGGGGAGAGCCATGGAATCAAACACATTCAGGAATATCTAAACTGTCATCTGTATACAACTGCTTTCTCAGATCAATGGTTAAAAATGGTTTTGAGCAAATGAAGCCTGAAGGTCTTAGTGAAAACCGTCCTTCTTTGAACATCGTGGACTGACACTATAGAATTACAAAGAAATGCACCAAATAACAGAAACCAAATTGCTTAAGGACTTTCAACATTAACAACAGCTAAAAAGGATGTCATGTGTCACTCAAAGAAAAAAATAACAAGGTAATCAAGAAGCACACTATTTCAAAGACAATGTTAGGAAAGAAATGCCCATCAGTCCTGGAAAATGCAATAACAGATACTGAACTTGAGAAACCTATTTTCCAGAAAAATTGCTTAAAGAGTAATTTTGAAATTGTAGGAGTTTTTAAGAAAATACCTTTAAGAACTTAAATATAGAGCTAAATGAAAAACAGTGTATCATTTTCAGAAGCTTTTGGAGACACTTGCAAACCTATTGCTATTCTGTCACTACTTCCATGGTAAATGTTTGGATGAGCTAGATTGCTTAACTCTACAAGTTCAGACCTTTACAGCCGGGTCCTGCCATAACATGTACACAGGGTCAAATCATTCTCTTTCACTTCATATTCCATTGGTGAGAAGAAAGTTCCACTCAGATTCTTCCAGGAAACTGTGCCTTTGTGGAATAACTCCTGAGAGGATACTTCTCTGATCACTGGAATGTTAACCTTTTAAAGTTTAGGGTCAACAGTTATCTATCCTTCATTTCCTCATAATTTTCACTTATCTCTATGCAACAAACGCATTCAGTAACCTTCTACCTTGAGTGGCTCTTGGGCTCAGTATTGAATGAATGTCTAAAAAATTTTTTTATGTATACTAGATTTGTTAATCTATGGAAATGGTAATATTATTAGTTTCCCTATATGAAACCTTTTGGCATTCATTGACCAAGCAATCAGTGCTACTGAAATTACTCTTTCCTTCACTCACTGGTCATTAGACTGTGAACAAAGTATAGAATCTGTCTTCATCTTTGATGGCCATGGTAATATTTGCTGTTTCCTTATAAGAAAACATTTTGCATTTGTTGACTGAGCAGCCAGTGCTAGTCTTTTCTTCAGTCCCTGGTCATCAAACTGGGATCAGAATGTAGTACCTGTTCACCTCATTTCTAATGGTCGTGTTAATATTAACCATTTCCTTATAAGGGAACATTTGGCATTTATTGACCAAACAACCAATGCTGCTTTCAGTTGAAATTTATAAAATCTTTCTCTTAAAACAATTTTTCAGGAAAATAGGTTTCCCAGGTTCAGCAGCTGTTGTTGCTCTTTCCAGTATTGATAAGTGTTTTCTTCCTAACCTTTTCTTTAAAGTATTGATGAATGCCAACATCTTGATTATGTCATTATTTTCTCGTAGAGTTAAATGTGCTATCCATTTTAGTTGTTACTGTTGTTGTAAGTCCTCAAGTGATGTGGTTTCTGTTATTTGGTAAAGTTCTTTGTGATTCTTTTAGCATTGAAGACAGATGCTCTTCTCTAAGACTTACAGGGTTCATTATTACTAACAGATAGGAGAGGAAATGCTTAGTCTAAGAATGGCTCTTGACTTATACAGATTTCTCTTCATCTGCTGATTTATATGATTTAGTGAAAATATGTTTACAGAACATTTCACTTCAGACAATCTTAAGATTACTTTTTCTAGCATCTTTCATGGCCACAAGAATCACTCATTGAATGAATTAATAAAATGTGTTTGATAACATGTAACCCAGTATAACCTGCTCCATGGACAGATGATTGGCATCTAAACCAGCTCCCTCTTCTAGCTTTTCTGCTGGTGAGGATGGTGGCATGTCACCCCACAGGACAAAAAACAAGACCTGTCAACCTTATAGGAGGCAACATATAAATAGAGCATACCTTAAAACTATATATCAAAGTGCTCAATATCAGGGATTGAGGGTATGTAAATATAAACATGAAACAGACTCTCACCACTGGGTGTTGACTTCGATGTCCACTTTATATATATATATATATATATATATATATATATAATGTAAAAGGCTAGGAAAAAACAAAAAAAAAAAAATGTGAAATTGATATTTACCAGCCAGGGCACTTGGTTGAATCCAGTGACTTGACCCAAAGAGATGTGAGTTCAATACCTGGCTACTGCAGTGGCGAACAGAAACTTGGAGTGTTGAGTTAAACGGGTGCTAACTGAGACACCCAGAAGATGCATGGATGGAACTAGAACAATCTACCCTGGTGGACAAAATAAAAGGTTCAATTCAAAATTCCAATCACCTGAAGAAGGCCAGAGAGTACAACAGTCAAAACATTGTGAATATGGCAGTGAAGATGAGAACAACAGTCCTAACAATGTAGTGTAAACAATTTCTAATGAGTCATACACCAAAGTTCAAATGAATTTTAAAAAACAGTCATTTAGTGTCTTTATTAATGCTACTTTTATTATTAATTTTGTCAAAGAAAAATGGTTGAAATAAGAGAAAGTTTGTTCTCCAATACCAATAATCTGAAAAATAATATGAAGTGTGTAATGAATTGACAACAAGAATTACCATAGAATAATGGCTTTATTCAACATTATGGCACTACTATTATTACTGCTACTGTAGCATGCCAAGTAACCATATTTGAATTGTAAGTGTTCTTTTAAGAGTTCCGTTAAAGGGGGATAATTAGGGAAGTTTCTTAATAGCAAAGTGTTTAAATCTAAAATTAGAGTAAGAAGAACATT